TATCAAAAAATGGTTCAATAGGTTTTAACTCCGCCTTAATTTTGTTCGATAATTTTGGATTAGAAACGGAGGTGGTGGCAACCAGAGTAAATTGGGATAGGTCGATAATTTCTTCTACTTTGTTTATTCTGATTTTCTTTTCAAGAAAATAAAAACTTCTTTCTACTTGTTGTTTTCCCAAATTAGTATTTTGTTTTGGGTCAATTATTTTCACCAGTTCATTTTCTAATTCCGGATTAGTGATTTTATCAATATTTTTTAACCAAATAGTCGGTGAATAGCCTTCTAGTTTTTCCTCGTAATTTTTTTCTTGTTTGCAGATTTCTGCGACTTTTTTTTGGAGAAATTCAGGACTGCTACTTTCGGTCGATCCAAAATCGATGACATTATATTCTTTTGCGGTTCACAACTTGTCTCTATTTGTTGCTAATTGTTCATTAAATTCCTCACCGCAGAATAAGAGAGCACGACTGTTTTCTTTTCGGCCTCATTTTTCGACTCAATTATTTATTAACCTACGTTCATGTGACTTCTTTTCTAATATTTTTAACCACTCCTCTTTTTGTTTTTCCTGCTCTGCCTCTCTCGGAAACTTTTCTAAATCTTTTTGAATTTCTCGTTGTAATTTAAGAATTGATTTTTCTAATTTAAGTTTTTCCGAATCATTCGGATTGGGCTCGGCATTCGGAATAGTTTGAAAAACCTTTTCTAGTTGTTGGGCTGGCTTTTCCTTCTCAATTTCAGTGGCTAATATTGAACGAGCATATTCACCCGGTAAAATATAACCAACTGCCAAAACCGCTAAAATAATAACTCCCCACAGCACTCGTCATCTTTTTTTTCACCAAAAAAGATAAAGAAACGGCAAAATAGCCATTAAAGCGCACCACCAAATTATTCACTTCATAAATTATAGTAAAAAACAGACAATAACTTGTTGTCTTATTTTATTGGTGCCCACAATGGGAGTCGAACCCACACTGGACGGGTCTTGAATCCGCGGCGTCTACCAATTGCGCGATGTGGGCTTTTTTTAATATTCGACCACTTTTTTCGGTTCAACCAGATAACCAACTAGAAAACCACTTCCTATCATTCCCGTCACAATTACCAAACAAATAACTCACCAATAGCGTAAATGTCAAGGGAATTTTTCCTCTATTATTTTTAAAAATGAAGGAGCGTGACTTTTGTAAACTTCTATTGATTTTTCCGCAAATCGCTTTTTTTCCTCATCAGTCGCTTCTTCTATTCATTTCATCACTTTTCGTTGAATTATTTCTTGATTAGTTTCATTTTTTAGTTCCTCGTAAAGACCCATTTCTTTTCATAGTATTATTGCCATCTCTCGGGCTTGTAAAGGGTTTTTCGTGGCTCATTTTTGATATTCTGCAATGAATTTTCTTTCTCCGATACTTTCTTGGAAATGTATACCTACTTGTTTTTTTCATCAACTATAATAGACAAAGCCAAAAATTATTCCCAAAATTAGACCAATTACCAGCCCAATTCATCTATATAATGATTTTTTGGTGTGTGTGTGTGTGTGTGTGTGTCGATTTCCGTGGAAGTCGTTTAAAAATTCACTACTATTCATATATGTTTATTTTGGTAGCGGGGGGAGGATTTGAACCTCCGATCTTTGGATTATGAGCCCAACGAGTTAGACCAGCTACTCTACCCCGCGATTTATTTATAAAAATAATTCCTGCTAATTTTATGCAACTTGACTTGTCTTAAACCCTTTTAAAGGATTTCAATTTCCAAATTGCTATAATTTATTTTATAACCAATCTTACACAAATAAATAATTAATATATATATATGTCAACTGTCAAACTTCATTCTAAAGGTTCTATTACTAAACGCTTTAAAACCCTCTCCAAAGGCAAATTAAAACATTGACGGGCTTATACTTCCCATCTGGCTTATAGTAAATCAACCAAACAAAAAAGGCATTTACGAAAGAGCTCTTTATTAAATAACAGCGATTGAAAAAGGCTAAAAAAAGTGGTTAGTTGTTAAAATGAACGCAAAATTGGCAGAATTATTTCAAAGAAAGCATTTTTGAGAGCGAAAAAGAGATGCTTTGTATAACCGAATATTGTGGGATTATCAGCGAAACGCTTTCTGATTTTTCTATCTTGCTTTCTATCTTTTTTTGTTTAACCAAAGAGGCACTATTTTTCCCGACAAAAAAGGTTGGGATTGATACAATATAATTTGAATTATACTTATGGC